AGACTGGAGTGCAGTGGCCGCTCCCGGCCACTGCAGCCTCGACCTGCTGGGCTCTGGCAAGCCTTCCGCCTCAGCCTTCCAAGTAACTGGAACTACAGGCGCGCGCTGCCACATCCGGCTAATTTTTTGATTTATTGTAGAGATGAGGTCTCGCCAAGTTGCCCAGATGGGTTTTGAACCCGCGGGCTCAGGCAATCCACTCACCTCGGCCTCCCAAAGCGCTAGGATGACAGGCTGAGCCACCGAGCCCTGCCAGCTTAGACCATTTTAATCATCCATCCATTCATCTACCCACCCACTTATTCATTCATTAAACAAATGGTTTTTGAGTGTCTGTATGTGACAGGCACTGTGCTAGATGCTTGGCATGTGGCAGTGGGCAAAGCAGGTAAAACTTTGCCTTCCAGGCAAGGCAGCTTCTTGGGTGAAGCCACGAACAACTATGCTGTTGCCTAGCTAACCATTTTTATCACAAAGCTATTACTTCTTTTACCATGGGAAGAACATGAAAAGATTTTAACCTTAATAAGGGGAAATGGCCAAGATATACAGTCATCTCTTTGTATCCTCAGGGATTGTTTCCAGGAACCCCTCTCCCATAGCAAATCTTCAAATGCTCAAGACCCTTATGTAAAACGGTATGGTATTTGCATATGACCTGCACACATCCTCCTGTACAGTACTTCAAATCATTTCTAGATTGCTTATTCTACCTAATGCAAAGTAAAGGCTATGCAACTTATTGTTATGCTGTGTTTTTATTTGTGTTATGCTTTATTGTTACATTGTTATTTTTAATTTATATATGTATATTTTCAAGTATTTTCCATTTGTGGTCGTTCAAATCTATGGTTCAGAACCTGCAGATATGGAGGGCCAACTGTAGTTAAATTTTTCAAAAAGCTTAATATAAAATTATGTGTATATATACGGGGGACCCCCAAAAGACCCACAATTTATTTATAAAAAAATTGTTTATTTATTCTTACATGTTTAAACTTCAGTCATTGTCAAAGTACCCTCTGTTTGATGCATTACACCTATAGAGATGCTTTTTACACTGCTCAAAACAGTTTCGAGTGCGTCATTTTTGATGCCTTTTTAATGCTTCTGCCATTTCTGTTTCAACTCTTTCACATGGGCAAAACGTGTCCCTCTGAGGGCTTTTTTCAGCCAGGGGAAATAATAATAAAGTCACTCGGGGCTTGATCAGGTTAATAGGGAGGGTGGGATAAGGGGGTCATGTTTTGGGTCATAAACTGCTGAACACTCAGCATGGTGTGGGCAGGTGTGCTAGTAAATCACCCATCATGAAATGGGCAAACATGTTAAAAGAATCTGCCCTCCCAAATTCATTGAAGCCAAACGCAGCCTCTCACAACAATGCTAACTGGTACACTGATGCTGGTGGGTTCCTAGAACACTTACCTAGAGGGGAAGTCTGTATTACAAGGGGCCCGTCTTCCAAAAGATAATTGCAATTTTTTGGAATCCCCCCAGTATACGTAACATGATTTCAATTATACTAACATACATGTACACAGTCCTTAAGTGTCAGTAGGGGTATAAATCAGTAGGTGAGGGCCAACTATGTTAAACTTTAAAAAGCCCAATTAGAAAAAAGGCAAATATATATATATATATACACACACGCACACACAAACATATAACATATGATTTGGACTAGGTGTGGTGGATCATACCTATAATTCCAGAACTTTGGGAGGCTGAGGCAGCAGAATTACTTGAGGCTAGGAGTTCGAGACCAGCCTGGGCAACAAAGTGAGACCCCCGTCTCTAAAACAAATAGAAAAATAAGCCAGGTGTGGTGGTGTGCACCTGTAGTCTCAGCTACTTGGAGGTTGAGGTAGGAGGATTGCTTAAGCCCTGGAGTTCGAGACTGGGGTGAGCCGTGATCATGCTACTGCATTCCAGTCTGGCTGATAGTGAAACCCGGTCTTAAAAAACAAAAAACAAAGATAAAAAGCCTGATATAAAATTGTATATTTATACATTATATATATATATATATAAATATATATACATGTATATGTATATATATATTAAACACACACACACACACACACACACACACACACACACACACACACACCCATGGTTCCAGTTATGTTAACATATATGTGCAAAGAAAAAAAGACAGGTAGGAAATAACCCCTAAATAGCAGTAGGACAGTTTGTATTTTCTGCACTTCATACAATGTGACCTTGACTCTCCCATTGAGAGATGGAGTTTAAGTTCCTTCTCCACAAATTGGTGACTATGGAGGAAATATAACTTCTGCCTTGTCCTTCTGTGATGCTCATATTGGGAACACAAACACTACACTGTGAGGAAGCACACAGCACACCATACATAGGTGGGTCGGCAAAAGCCCCAGCTGAGGTCTCATATGACAGCCAACATCAGTCAACACAGACACACACACACACACACACAAAATGAGGAAGCTCCAGTCACCTCTGACCATAGCTGTATGAAAGATGCCAAGCATGAACAGCCTACTTTAGCCTAGCCAATGCCCAGAATCTGAAGATAATAATGATTCATGCTGTTTAAAGCAACAGAGTTTGGGGGTGATTTGTTATACAGCAATATATAGCCCAAAAAAGCATCTAATCTCTGGATTGTGGGATTATGGGAATACTTTCCCATATTTTCCAAGAGTTCTGTAACAACCACTTATTTCTTTTGCAATCAGTTAAAAATTTATTAAACATTAAAATAGGATCTAACATTTTTATTTCACAAAGGAATACTAGGTCTAAATATGAATTTAGGGACTTCAACTAGACTTGGAGAAAAGCTTTCTATGCAAGATTTATTAGATATTGAGAAGGATTAGGAATATAAATTTAAGTTGATACGATGGAAAGAGTGGCAGATTTAAAACGAGGAAACTTGGAAACAAATCTCGTTTTTCTGGGTGACCTTGAAGCAAGGCCTTGCTCAAATTCAGTTTTCTATTTTGAAAAATGCAGCTGGCTGCCCAAGGAAGATAGCATCCACCAGGCGCCTGGCCCAGAAAAGGCGCTCTGTAAGTGGTAGGTGGATTCTGTCTAATCAACGTCAATTATAAGCAGGCATCTGCAAGCTTTGTGATTGGCGCATCCTTCGCTGCCACCAGAGATCGCAGTTCTAATAATGGCAATTGCCTGGGAAAAGAACCACAACTCTTAAAAAATGATAATAAAAAAAAAATTTCCCAAAATACGAAGTGGCTTTTGCAGCGGTCCTTGCCTGTGACGGGTCACAGCTGGCGCCTTTAGTTCTGCATCCTCTCAGGAGATTCCATCCCGGACGGACGGCCAGAGAGCCCGGGGATGTAGCGAGAGAGAGAAGACGACTTGGCAGCCGGGCCAGGCGGAAAGCCGCCCCGCCCCGCCCCGCCCCGCCCCGCCCCGCGTCCCCGGGGCCGGGGTCCTGGCAACCCCGGAACGCGCCTCCCGGGGAGGGGCAGGCGGAGGCGGCGTCCCTCGGGCGCTTGGCTCTGGGTTCCTCGGCGGTTCGGCCGCCAGTTGGTGCGTTCGTCTCGGCCACATGCTCCACGGAGGCCTCCGAGCGGGCCTCCCTTGGGGAAGGGGGGGTAAGAGGACGCAGGGGTGGAGAAGAAGGAGCACGTGGAACGGGCGGGCAGCGAGCCCCGCTCGGGCTGGGGGCGCACCCACTGCAGATCTGGGGGCCTCCAAACCAAGAAAAGTTCGGGTGGAGGGAGGGAGACTCCGACTTACAGGCCAGCCCCGCCCTCTAAACTTCCAATGGCTTGTGGAGTTTCTGTTTGTTTTGGCTGACAAAGGTCTTTGTCTCCGGGTTGTTTTTTAATATTTAAAACCAACACGTGCACAGATGAGTCCATGTACCCTGGAGAGGGTCCCCGGGGCTGCCGTCTCCCCTTCATCTCAAGCGCGACCTGTGGCAGAGAGCTGGCGAAGGAGAAAGAAGACTCTGGCGTGACCAAGGTGGAGAGGAAATACAGTTGAGTGCGAAGAAATTGGAGCGCTGGGGTGGACTTGGTGGCCATGTCCGAGTATACCAGAGTCAGGGGCGCCATTTGAAGTTTAGGAGGAGGCTAGTTTGGGGGCATATAAAAAGAACTGCTTGAATAATAGCTTAGGTCTGTATCAACCCAAGATCTGAGTAGGCAGAGAGCATCATCAAAGCAGAAATTCTCATACTTACTGGATTACATAACAGCTAGAGAAGCATATTCCACATGAATAAAGGGAGCCGGAGATTTGGCCTGTCCATTGCTTGCATTAACAAATGGTGGGCCTGGGATTTCATGTGAGTTCTGCCGTCTTCCAGAGCCTGTGGCCTTTCATTTTTTCCTTTGCTTAAGTATTAGTAGATTTGTGTCACTGTTTATGGGCTGGGACAGTTCCGTTGGGGACTATGAACACTCCAAGGGAAGGTTTAAATTAAATAACGGCTGGTAGCTCCATAATTGGTTAGGACTGGAGGAGGATTTGGGAAGCACATTTGCCTTTAGAGAACGTGTCATGAAGCAGAACAGTTACACCTCCCAGAAAACCTTAGTGTATGTGCTCACGTTGTCATTTACCTGTTACGGGTATGTGGTCTGTGTGCTGCAAAGAGGGGTTGTAGAGTGTCTTGTCTTTGCCCCATCTTTACTAGGTCTTTTAAATCCTGGATCTGCAATCTCCTTATACTCCTTCAAAGCATGGGGAAGAGGGAGGTGCAGGGGCTGACAATTAAGTTAGTGAACTCATCCTAGAAAAAGTGCTGCCTGCCTCATTGGTGAATATCACTATGTTCATCTTCAAAGTACTCCCCTTGGGAAGCTATGCACCGATGCCAGCACCTAGTCCACCCGTCAAAGCAATTTTGGAACTCTTTTTCTGGAATGACCATCATTTTATTATCCTTGATGTCCTGAATGTCATCAAAATGTCTTTCTTCCAATATTTTCTTTATCTTCGGGTAAAGAAAAAAGTTATTTTGGGCCAGATCAGGTAAGTAGGGAGGGTGTTCCAATACAGTTATTTGTTTACTGGCTAAAAACTCCCTCCCAGATAGTGCTGTGTGAACTGGTACATTGTCATGATGCAAGAGCTTGTTCAGAACCATTTTTGTACACACCTTTCTTGTGCCAAGATTTTCAGTTAAAATTTTCCTGTTTCACTCTCGATGTTTATTTGGTCTGCTATGCTTCTCATGGTCAGCCAACGATTTTGACACACAATTTGATAAGTTTTTGCAATGTTTTTTTAATCAGATCTGCTTGTTACTGGCCATCCTGACCTCTCTTCACCATTGATGCTTTCTGTTCCCTCAGAAAAATGTTTAATCCACGTGTACACTGCTGTTTCTTCATTGCATTATTCCCATAAACTTGGACTAACATGTCCCTAATTTCACTTTCACTCTTGCCAAGTTAAACAAGAAATTTAATGTTTGTTCGTTGCTCTGATTCAAACTTCGACATTCTCATGATGACAACTCTGATGGCCATTCCAGAAAAAGAGTTCCAAAATTGCTGTGATGGGTGAACTAGGCGCTGGTGTCAGTATATAGCTTTCCAAGGGGAGTACTTCAAAGATGACCACGGTGATATTCAGCAGTGAGGCATGTAACGCTTTTTCTAGGATGAGATAGCAAACTTAATTGTCAGTCCTTGTACAACTCACCCCACCAAACTGTAAGCTGGGACCTGTAGAGGAGGAGGTGCTGGAGGAGTTGAAACTATTAATTGCTCAAGTGTGTCTGGAGCAGCAAGAAGAAAGGGGTTCTGGGATTCTAACTTCAAGCCCCAGATCTTTCTATGGTTTCCAGTTTGGTTTGGGGTAAAGGAGAAAGCTGCTGTTTTAAAGGTGTGCTAAGGAGGCCTCATGTTTCTGAGTGAGGAGTACCAGAAGGGCACCAGGCCCTGAGATCATCAGACAGTATTAACCAAAGACCCATGGTTTCCTTTTCTGCTCTGTAGATGTGTCCATCTAGGAGGCTACACCTGGGTTCAGCTTAACATGAAGTCCATGGGTTTCAGGAAGGAGGGGGCTCTACAAACCAGTTACAGATATGTGCACATGTGTGCGTGTGCGTGTGTGCATTTTTCCAGTAGAAAGAGCTTCTTGGTTTCATTACTTATCTTTGTGTGTGTGTGTGTGTGTGTGTGTGATAAGCAGGGGTGGGAAACTGAGTGGTTAAGATGGTCTCCATATGAAACTAACATGGCTTGATGGGTTATTTTCCTCCCTGCCAGACAGAGCTATTGTGCAAATCAGCTGAGATGACAAGTGTATGAAAGTGCTTTGGTTATGTAAGGTGTTATTTCTGCCTAAAGAAATGGAAATAATTATCCTGAATTCCACAGATGGTACCAAAGAAACAGACTTTATTCCAAACTTTCCTTTTACCCCGAATTCCTTTCTGGTCACCAGAACCTTCTCTTGGTCTTTAATTGCATCATCTTTTCTTATTTCGTAGTGTTTTAGAGACTTGTTAGGATTTCCTGGCTTATGACTTACTTGACATTTAGTGCATTTGAGTAGCAGTTCTAATGATAAATGATAAACCTTTCGAGAATGATGTATTCCCTTGGGGTGTTTGCTTCTCCCCACAGTCTTATGAGCTAGATAGAGGTGGGGCAGGCATTAGGATCTGGGCGTGGAAAGATAATTGTCTTGCTCAGAGCGACAGGATGGTGCTCTAAGCAATGGCAAATCAGTATCAGCATGGAGGGGTTCAGACTTGCAATTCTATCACACTTCTCCTCTTGGGGAGGGGCGGGGAGACATCTTGAGGCCATGTTTAAATGTTTCGGTGGCTATTGTGAATGAGATTGTGCTTTTTATTTGGGTCTCTGCCTGCTTGTTGTTGGTGTATAGAAATGCCACTGTCAGCCGGGCTCGGTGGCTCAGCCTGTAGTCCCGCGCCTTTGGGAGGCTGAGGTGAGTGGATTGCCTGAGCCCGCGGGTTCGAGACCCACTTGAGCAGCGAGATCTCATCTCACAATAAATAAAAAAATCAACTGGGCGTGGTAGCGCGTGCCTGTAGTTCCAGCTACTTGGAAGGCTGAGGCAGAAGGATCGCTGGAGCCCAGCAGGTCGAGGCTGTGGTGGCCGGGAGTGGCCACTGCACTCCAGTCTGGGCGACAGAGTGGGACTCCAACTCAAAAACAAAAAACAAAACAAAAAAAGAAAAAAAGAAATGCCACTGTCTTTTGCACATTTATTTTGTACCCTGAGACTTTGCTGAAGTCCTTTATCAGTGCAAGCAAGTTTTTGACAGATTCTCTTGGATTTTCAAGGTATAGGATCATATCACCAGCAAAGAAGGATAACTCGACTTCCTCTTTTCCTATTTGGATACCCCTGATGTCCTTCTCTTGTCTAATTGCTCGAACTAGGACTTCCAACACAATATTGAACAAGAGGGGTGAGAGTGTTTAAATGTTTCCAGCTCATGTTTGAGGCTGAGTTCCTTCTAGGAAGATCCTTTAGTCAGCTTGATCTGGAGAGTGTGCTGTTTTTGAGTTTTACAAGTGATCGCTCCTCCCATCCTTGCCCCAGACAAGACTTCCCCGTTATGGGAGCCACAGGCCACTTTCTAGTGTTGCTATCACGAAACTTAAGGCAAGCAAGGAAATATGCCAGTTTTAGGTGTGATTTTCCCTGCACCCTGCTCAGGCTCATGGAATACATTTAAATTTTGCCCCTAAAATAAACAAAACAAAACAGTAACAACAAACAACCACCAAACTTGCGAAGGGGGCCCTCTCTGATACTATCCATAGAGCCAACCAGTCCTTATTTTGGTGAATTCTCAAGTTCTATAGGGGCAAATATACGATTAAAATATTTACATGCTATGAAAAGGTAGCCACTGTTAAAACCTATGGGTAGAAATGACCGTAAGTAAATGCCATGATAAATACCTCAGAACTCACATACATGTATCAACCTAGAAGACATCTTCAGCCCTGATTCCATTTCTTCTCCGTATATATGGGTCCCTTTTACGTCCCTATACATACATTTCATACCTTTTTCACGGATACATTTCTAGAAGTGGAACCATTGAGTCAGACGATGTGCTCTTCTCATAGGCTTTGGAGGACACATGGCCAAATTACTCTTCAGTCAAATGGGAACATTCCCACCAGCAATTATAGGAATGCCATTCTTCCAAGCTATGCCTACCCTGGGTATTTGCAAACTTACAGCAAATAATGGCATCTTGTTTTACTTTTTCTTTCTTTTTTTTTTTTTGAGTTGAAGTCTCACTCTGTCGCCCAGACTGGAGTGCAGTGGCACACTCCCGGCCACCGCAGCCTCGACCTGCTGAGCTCTGGCGATCCTTCTGCTCAGCTTTCCAAGTAGCTGGAACTACAGGCGCCCGCTACCACGTCCGCCTAGTTTTTGATTTATTGTAGAGATGAGGTCTCGCCAAGTTGCCCAGGCGGGTCTCGAACCTGCGGGCTCAGGCAATCCACTCACCTCAGCCTTCCAAAACGTGGGATTACAGGCTGAGCCACCGAGCCCGGCCTATTTTTTATTTCTATTTTTCTTTTTATAACTTGTCTCTGTTGGTAAACATCTTGTTTATTCATTTTTAAAATTTAAAGATGTGGGGTACTATTCAGGAGTAGGTAGATAAGTGGTCATCACACAGGCACAAAGTTCACCTGATTTGAGATCAGGTACCCTTATTGATGTTATGTCCCCCCTCCCTCCCTTCCCTGGCAGTGTCCCACTACTGCCAATCCCTTTCTTATAGTGTTATGATTGATGTTCAGGGTCTGCTTTTGAGTGGGAACATGTGGTGCTCGGTTTTTTGTTTCTGTGGTAGATCACTGAGTATTATAGACTCTAAATCCATCCAAGTTGCTGCGAAGTTCATAATTAACATCTTGTTTAAATTCAGCTCTCTAATTACTAGGATGGATTATCTTTTTCCCCAAATATACTGACCATTTGTAGGTGATTTTTAAGATGAGTTATGATCATATATTTTGCCCATTTTTTTTCTCTCTGGATATTTACTTTCATCTTATAAATTTATACAAGCTCATAATCTGTTATGACTATTAACTCTTTTTTCTATCATGTATATTATAAATTTTCTTCCAGTTTATAGTTTACTGTGGAAGTTTTAAAAGTATATATATTCAAATCTATGTCTCGTTTCACTTATTTTGCCTGTATTTGATATCTTTCTTAGAAATGACTCTTCCACTCTAAGCTTATATAAACTTTCACTTATTTTATCAGGTACATCTTTTATTTAAATTTTATATTCAAACCATAATCCATCTGGTTTATTCCATTTTGAGATAAGAGAGATTTAATTGCATTTTTATTTCAAATGGTTAATTAGTTCTAACAATATTTTTTGAATAATCCATCCTTCCTTCACTGAAATAAAATACCATTACCATATAAAATGTTATTCTATTTATGTTTTCTATTTTGTTCTATTTATTTATCTGTTAGGGTTTGTGTTAGATGTGCTAGATATCTTCTAGGGTTTGATTATTATAATGATAGACTAAATTTAATTAGTTAGTTAATTAATTAATCAGAGTCTCACTCTGTTGCCCAGGCTAGAGTGCAGTGGTGGGATTGTGGTTCACTGCAGCCTTGACTCCTGGGCTCAAGCAATCCTTCTTCCTCAACCTCCTGAGTAGCAGGGATTACAGACACATGCCACCACGCCCAGCTAATTTTTTTGTAGAAGGTCTCACTATGTTGTCCAGGCTGGTCTCAAACTTCTGGACTCAAGCAGTCCTCCACGATGGCCTCCCAAAGTGCTGAGATTATATGCCCAAACTAGACTATATTTTATAAATTATGCTCTATAGCTGTGTAACCCTGAAAGTTATTTGACACTTCTGGGACTCAATTTCTTTATCTGTAAAGTTACTTGTATTATATTTGTAATTAGACCTCTTTTTCTTTTCTAATACTGTTAATTTTTGTTGAAATTCTTTTCTTGAAACTTATTTGTCTACATTATTCGTTTTTTCATGAAACCATAGCTCTGATAATATTTATTCCATTCACTTCTGCTTTTATTTTATGATTTCATTTCTTATAATTCTGTGAGTTTACTCTTTTCCCCCCCTTATTTCTTAAATTGGAAGCTTAGCTCATTAGTTTTGGAATTTTTTTTTTTTTTTTTGAATTGGAGTCTCACTCTGTCGCCCAGACTGGAGTGCAGTGGCCGCTCCCGCCCACCGCAGCCTCGACCTGCTGGGCTCCAGCGATCCTTCTGCCTCAGCCTTCCAAGTGGCTGGAACTACAGGCGTGCGCTACCACGCCCAGCTACTTTTTTTTGGTTATTTATTGTAGAGATGAGGTCTCGCCAAGTTGCCCAGGCGAGTCTCGAACCCGCGGGCTCAGGCAATCCACTCACCTCAGCTTCCCAATGTGCGGGAGTACAGACTGAGCCACGGAGCCAGGCAGTTTTGGAATTTTTTTTTTTTTGTACGCTATCAGGTCTCAGATGGACTTTTCTGGAGTTGCATTTCTGAAGTTGGGTTTGGGTCTTATCAGGTCTGTGGGCCCAGCAGCAGGCCTGGAACAGCTGTAATCACCTTTGCTGTATGAACTCCGAAGCATGCATGCAGACTGTGTGTCCATAGCTTGACAGAAAATTCCAGAAGCAGTACAGAACCACTCATTATAAGAAATTCATGTTCTTGTTTCAACATTGGGTCAATATTAGGTGAAAAATGTGGATGTTGGTGATTGGGTTACAAAATGATTTAGTAGACTTTTAAATGTGAATAAGGTTTAAGAATGCCCATTTTTTTTGCTATATTTTTTTTCTTTGCATAGGCACACGAGTGATACGTGATTGAAATCTATATCTGGGCAACCCCCTTGGGTCCCCTCCCACTGTGGGAGCTTTTCTGTCTTCTCAATAAATCTTGTTTCCAAAAAAACCCCTGTATCTAAGTAAATCTAAAAGAATACTTTAATACTTATAAAATAAAAATTTGAAATGATAAAAGTTTGTGTCATAGTTTCGTTGGCAGCCTTTGTTTTTTGTGATACATAAAATAATAATGTTATTACAATGTTTCATATGCTGTGAAATTCAGTATATGCATTTTAAGGCTTCAAGTTTCTAATTACTGCTTTAGTCAAATCCCACAAGTTTTGATGTATAGTACTTAGTGTTCATTGATCATTAAGCACCTTGTGATTTCCATTACAATTTATTCTTTTATATGAATTATTTAGGAGTGTGGTTTGCGTTTCCAAGCGTATGGGTGTTTTTTGGCCATCTTTTAATTATTGATTTCTAATTGTATTGCATTGCGGTCAGAGAGTGGTCTCTAGTATATTTGTTGATATTTCTTTTGTGGCTTAGTGCATGGGTGGTTCCTCCTTTGGTAGCTGGGACCTTTCCCCTTTTACTTGCAGCTTGGTTCCTTTTTTGCCACCTCCACTGGGTTTGACTCTGCCCCAGCTACTCACCTCAAGCAACTCATTGACCCTCGCTGCACTGGGCCTGCTTTAGGCTCTGGGCCTATTCCAGAACAGTATTTCCCTGCACTCGACCAACCCTGAGTCACCTAAGGATACTAAGTATACTAGTTTCCACACTGCAGATCTGGGTCAAAGCCCTGGAATCTGCATGTTGAACAAGCACTTCAAGGTGATTCTCACAAGCCGGCAAATTCAGGAAATTCTGTGCAGTTGGGAATCTGGAAGTGGAACAGGATAAAATGCAGTGCAGGGATGGAGCTAGACTTGAAGAAGAAGATCACTGCTAAACTAAAAAGCTACTGGGGAGGGTGGGGGGTGGGTTTGGTTTATTCAAAATGCAGGCTTCAGGCCTCACTTGGAGAGATTCTGATTCAACAGGTCTACGGTAGAATTTGGGAATTTTTTTTTTAACAGGCCTCCCAGTTAATTATGATGCAGATAGGCTGTGTGCCATGCTCTGGGAAAGGGAAGAATTTTGAAGGGAAGAAGTGATCCAGCTTGTCTTTAAGCTTTGTAGAGTCACAGGCAAAGTCCTCTTAAGAGTGAAGGACTTGGTGATAGGGTTGGGACTTGAGAAGAGCAGAAAATATCTGATTCACTTACTATATGAATTTGAGAGGAAATGAACAAAAAATGTCCAAGTGGCAGTCTTGCTGATAGATGGTGGGAATTTGCAGAAAGCATATGGTTTATACTAGAGTCAAATCTATGAGGCCTGCTTCTGCAGATTCAACCAACTGCAGATGGAAAATATTCAAAAAGAAAGCAACAAAAAAAAGAAAAATACAACAATAAAAATAATATAAATAAAAATAATATAGTATTTACATAGCATTTACATTGTGTTAGATATTATAAGTAATCTAGTGATGATTTAAAGTACAGTATACTCGGGGGTATGCAGGTATATGCAAATACTACACTGTTTTATAGGAGGAACTTGTGTATCTTGTGACTTTTGGTGTCATGGGGGGCCTTGAAACCAATCCCCCCATAGATACTGAGAGATGACTGTATACATGTGAAGCATGAGACAAGGTAGGTGAAATAGTGCTCAGTTTAAAAATGTATTTGAGAGCCAGGTAAGTTGGACTCTTATTTCTTATAACCAGAGGTTACATTGTGTCCATATGAGCCTCTGTGCCCCTTGAAGTTATGCATGAAGAAATGCAAGATCTATTCACCTGACTTTTACATTTTGTAACTGGACAAGGTATACAACAATATAAAATGATAAGAGAACAGATTGACTTACACAGAGTATTACTTGTATAGCAAAGTGAAGATAATGGTACACTGCTTTATCTGGCACTCTGGCTCTCAGGACTTCCTTACTTGTAATTGTGAGTGGTTGGGGAGTTATAATTCTTTTTCATCTATTCACTCAAATATTTACTGAGCAGCTACTTTGTGACAGACACTGTTTTGAATGCTACTAAGATGAATAAAAAGTGTGAGGAGAACCCAGGGAAGTTTCTGAAGACAGTTCTTTGGGTTGTGATCACCGGCTACATTGATCAGTCATTCTATGAATAAATCCTTTGAAAAAATGTGCTGAGATACTCGAGGTGATGCACAGTGATATGCAACTCAATTCAGACTATGTTTTCCGCTTAGTTCAGAGGAGGTGAAATGTTTATAGGGGCAAGCCATCTAATGGTTAAGATTTCAGGTTTTATTGTCACAGGAATTGTAATCAAATGTTTGTTTAGATGTTGACTTTCTGTGTGATCATAGGCAAGCTGTGTAACTCTCTGAGTCTCAGTTTCCTCATCTGTCAAATGGAGACAATAAGTAATAACTATGTCTGTGGTCGTGATAGGGATTAAATGGGATAATGTGTATTAGGTGTTAACAAAGTCTCCAGTACACAGTAAATGCTTCAACAAATGTTAGGTGGTTTTTAAAAACTATTTATAATCTAGGAAACAAGATAGAGTGGAAGGTATTTGCAATAACGTAATTAACATGGTGTTATCTATGTGTTGCAGGTGCTAAACACAATGATTTTCTGGACTCTAAAGGATGCTTTGCCAACCCAACATCCTCTGGCAGAAGGGTCAGCTCCTCATCCTCTTGTGAAACAAGGCAAAGTGTCAATGAGCCTCCAGGCCTCCCCAGAGTATTTGCTCACCTAGGGTTAGTAAGGGTCTTGGGAAAGGCTGTCACTGTTGGGGTACATTCTGACCAAGAAGTCAACAGTCTGAGAGGTAGCACAATATTATTGCTTGGCAAGAGCATGGATTCTGCAGCTAGACTGTCTGGGTTCAAATCCAAGTTCTTTCACTTAGTATCTGTGTGAACTTGAGTACATTATTTCACCTCCCTGAGCCTCAGTTTTCTTATCTGCAAAATGGTGATAATACTTGAGAGGATTGTTGTGAGGATTAAAAGAGTTAACACATGTAAAGTGATTAGAGGAATCACAGGCTGGGCGTGGTGGCTGATGCCTGTAATCCCAGCACTTTGGAAGGCTGAGGCAGGAGGATTGAGCCCAGGAATATCAGACCAGTCTGGGCAGCATAGTGAGACCTAGTCTCTGCAAGAAAAGTAAAAAATTAGCCAGGTATGGTGGCGTAGCCTGTGTACCAGCTACTTGGGAGGCTGAGGCAGAAGGATCACCTGAGTCCAGAAGGTCAAGATTGTAGTGAGCCATGATCGTGCCACTGCACTGTAGCCTGGGTGATAGAGTGAGATCCTGACTCGAAAAGAAAAGAAAAGAAAAGTCTCCTCTGACACACAGTAAGTAAGTGCTTGCTATTATGAAATTCAGAAAATGGAGAAACAAAATCATATATTTTTGGAATACATGCACACATTCATAGGAGGTAGAACTTAAAAAGCATATAAGTGATTATCTTAAGAGTCACACTTAGGATAGTGGTTACCTCCCTGGGAAAAGGGCGGTGGGATAAGGGAAGTGGTTTCTGGGGAGTGGGATAAGGAAAGATTGGCAATGTTTTGTTTCTTGGCCTGGATATTGACTTTATAATAATAATTATTATTATTTGAGTTGGAGTCTCACTCTGTTGCCCAAGCTGGAATACAGTGGCACACTCACCGCCACTGCAGCTTCAACCCGGTAGGCTCAGGCAACCCTCTTGCCTCTGCCTCCCACAGTGCTGGAATTACAGGCATGAACCATTAAAATGTATTTATATTTTATGTACTTTTCTTTGTTTATAATTCTTTTACATTAAACATGTTTTGAAAACCTCTTTCTAGCAATTTTTGTTATAATGAAAGTAACAAGTTCATTGCAGAAAATGTGAAAAAAGAAAAACAATGTTAAAAATGAAAGTCAAAATAATTTCATATATCAGAGAATAAATGTTAACATTTTGATATCCATTTTTATATGTGTAAGAACTTTTTCTCATGCACGTAAATATATATTTATTTTATATTTATATTTATTTTATATTTATATTAAAAACTTATTATACTACTCTTTTAGAAAGACTGCTTTTTAAAAAGATTTATTAAAGATTTTACTTTTTTTTGAGTTAGGAATCTCACTCTGTCACCCAGGGTGGAGTGCAGTGGCACGATCATGGCACGCTGCAGCCTCAACCTTCTGGACTCAGGTGATCCTTCTGCCTCAGCCTTCTGAGTAGCTGGGACCACAGGCATGTGCCAGCATGCCCAGATAATTTTTTTTGAATTTTTGTAGAGACAAAGTCTTGCTACATTGCCCAGGCTGGTCTCAAACTCTTGGGTTGCTCAAGCAACCCTCTCGTCTCGGCCTCCTAAAGTGCTGGAATTACAGGCGTGAGCCACTATGCTCAGCTAAGATTTTACTTTTTTAGAATAGTTTTAGGCTCACAGCAAAATTAAGAGAAAGGTACAGTTTCCATGTTCCCCCTTGCCCCACGCACGCACAGCCTCCCCTACAATCAACATCCTGCCCTAGCATGGATCATCTGTTACAATGGATGAACCGGCACAGACATATCGTCATCATTATTCAAAGTTCATAGTTTACATTAGAATGCCCTCTTGAACATGCTATGGACAACATTTGCCTATTGGACACATGTATAATGATGTGTCCACCATTACAATATCATACTTGCTGTCTCCATAGTTTTTCCTTTTCCAGAACGACATATAGTTGGAGTCATATAGTATATACCCTTTTCAGATTATCTTCTTTCACTTAATAATGTGCATTTAAGTTTCTTCCATGTCTTTTCATGACTTGACAGCTCATTTGTTTTTAGTGCTGAAAGATACTTCATTGTCTGGATGTACCACTTTATGTACCCATTCACCTACTGAAAGACATCCTGTTTTTTTTCTTTTGAGTTGGAATCTCACTCTGTCACCCAGACTGGAGTGCAGTGGCACGCTTCTGGCCACTGCAGCTGCAACCTGCTGGGCTCTGGCGATCCGTCCGCCTCAGCCTTCCAAGTAGCTGGAACTACTGGTGTGCGCTACCACACCCGGCTAATTTTTTTGATTTATTGTAGAGATGAGATCTTGCCAAGTTGGCCAGGTGGGTCTCGAACCCGCGGGCTCAGGCAATTCACTCACCTCGGCCTCCCAAACACGGGATTATAGGCTGAGCCACCGAGCCTGGCTGAAAGACATCTTGTAAAGCCTGCTTTTACACTAAACAATATATGGAAAGAATTTTCTCATATCTCTGAGTGTTTTTCAAGATTATGGCTTTCAGTGACTATATGCTGAAGTGTGAGATGAATAGACAACAATCCAGCCAGTGTCCTATAGTCTTAAAGAGTTTGCTGTTGTAAATGGCGCTGTAATGAGTAACTCTGTACATTTGTCTTTTGCCTGTCTCTGGTTATATCATAGAAGTAAATTCCTAGAAGTAGAGTCAAAGGTAAGGGAAGTTGCTTAGGTGATTCTTTCCATAATAAAAATCTGCTCCAAGTGGACTTGCTGCTCCCAGCACTAGACATGGAAGGAGCTGGCATAATTCTTAAGCTCTGCCTGTTTGGGTCTCTGCAACAGATGTATATCATTATTGGTAGCACACCCCTCCCCACAATAGTACTGGAGAGGAAAGAGCCCAGATGGTCAAGTTCACATTCTGCAGGATGGGAAATTGGGTGATCAATGTCAGTTCTGCTTGCCTTCCTTCCTTCCTTCCTTCCTTCCTTCCTTCCTTCCTTCCTTCCTTCCTTCCTTCCCTCCCTCCTTCTGAGTTGGAGGTCTCACTCTGTTGCTCAGGCTGGAGTACAGTGGCATGCTCACAGCCACTGCAGCCTCAACCTGCTGGGCTCAGGCAATTTTTCCACCTCAACCTTCCAAGTAGTTGGGACTACAAGCATGCACCACCATCCCTGGCTAATTTTTTTATTTATTGTAGAGATGAGGGCTGACCATGTTACCCAGGTTGGTCTCAAACTCCTGAGCTCAGGCAGTTCTCTCACCTTGGTCTCTCAAAGTGCTGAGATTACAAGCGTGGGCCACTACTCCCAGCCAGTATTTCTAATTTCTTAAATAATTCTTGTTATTTCTCATGATACCTGGGATAAAAAGGACCTAATTTAGTCAGAGCATGTTTACCCAAATATAAAACTCTAGCCTGGCTTAGCCCCAAGCTTCAGGCTGATATATTAACTGCTTCTTAGATATCTCCATCGGGTTGTCCCACAGTCCCCTCAAACTCAACGTGCCTTGACTGAATGTATCCTCACCCCTCCCCACAAACTCAATCCTCCTCCTGTATCCCTTGTCTCACTTGACAGTCTCAGTGTTCATGCAGTCCCAAAGGCATAGACACGGGTCATAATTGTCTCCTCCCATTCATCCCCTTGGGAATCAAGCCCTAAAATAGCTTGTAAGTCTACCTCTTCTACTGCATCTATATTACCACAGTTCCACTCTAGACTCTGATCATCTCTTGCCTGGACCATTGTAAAATTCTCTATGTTAGTTACCTATTGCTAGATAAAGATTCACCCAATACAACAAACATTTATTGTCTCACATTTTCTGTGAGTCACAAGTCTAAGTGTGACCTAGACAGTTGCCTCTGGCACAAGGTCACAGGATTGCAATCAAGGTGTTGGCCAGAGATATGGGTTCATCTGAAGGCTCAACTGGGAGATGGTCCACTTCCAAGCTCACTTACATGGCTGGTGGCAGGATTAGTTCCTCACAAGCTGTTAGTACTGAGCTCAGCTTCTCACTGTCTGTTGCTCAGAGTCTTCTTCTCTCTGTTCCTTGCCTCTCTCTACTTAGGTTATCTCACAGCATGGCAGCTGGCTCTCCTCCCAAGCAAGCAGGAATGTACACAAGACAAAGACATAGTCTCTTTGTAACCTTATCTTAGAAGTGACATCCCATCAATTATGCTGTATTCTATTGTTAGAAATAAGTCACTAGGTCCAGTCCATACTCAAGAGAAGGAGATTACAGATAGGAATAAATATCAAAAGGCAGGGAATATTAGTGGCCATGTCAGAGGTCGCCTACCACACTCTCCCAAAAGGACTCCCTGACTGAAGTCTTATGTTTTTCAAATCCATTCCTCACACAGCTTCCAGAGTTATCTAAAACAGAAATCTGACCATATGTGACAATGTCCTTGCATACTATTATTTAGTGACATTCCATTAAAGTGTGTGATAAAGAAGAGTCTACAGCCCCTTCCATGAACTGCAAATTCTCTAGATCTGTCTTTCTTCTTTTCTGCCGACTTATCTCTGATACTTCTGCCACAACCACATCAAATGTCTTCATTTCCTGTTGTTTCTTCCTCCTATGCTCATGTTGCCTCCCTTGCCTGAAGTGGTGGCCCCCCGGTGCTCTTGCTTGTGGCACATATTGAGGGAGCTACCTAGCTCCCAATGACTTCCCTAGTGGCCTCATCTTGCTGTCCCCCTTTTCCTGGGATAACTGTTTTCCCCTTCCCAACTCTTTTTTTTTTTTTTTTTTTTTGAGTTGGAGTCTCACTCTGTCGCCCAGACTGGAGTGCAGTGGCCGCTCCCGGCCACCACAGCCTCGCCTGCTGGGCTCCGGCGATCCTTCCGCCTCAGCCTTCTGAATAGCCGGAATTATAGGCATGAGCTACCACGCCCGGTTGATTTTTTGATTTATTGTAGAGATGAGGTCTCACTGCCCAGGCGGATCTCAAACCCACGGGCTCAGGCAATCCACTCACCTCAGCCTCCCAAAGGCGTG